TTCGCGGCATTAGAGAACAAAAGCTTTAAGAGCACTGCTTGACTATTTAAAATCCGCGGGCTATAGCACCCTGTAATACGCGAGGAAAGGACCAACACCAAAATTAGCCACGCAATTTGTATAATATTGTATCACATTGGGTAAATAGTGTATCATAGTGTATTATAGTGTATAATAGTGTTTTTGTGCCACCTCTCCTACAACCACTCTTGGTTCCGCCTACCCCCCTAGCAATAGGCGAGAAAGCTGGCCCCACCACTGGGAGACTAACCTTTCGCCTTGCTTCTACCCCCTTTTCATTTTGCAATAAACTACTACTACTACTACTCATAGTAAAAATATTGGACTTGAAGCGCACCCCTCAACACAAAGTAACAAGAAAACTGTTCTAATTTATTTGTCGGTGCAATGGAAATAACCTTTCTTCTCTTAGAACAAAACTCAAAACAAAATATTTCAATGTATATCGATGAAATAAAGTATTGTTTTGAGTATACGTTTACTAATTTGATATTAGTATAGGAAGTCGCCAGGAAATAAGATGGTGTTGAGTATTAATTACGTTTGACTTAATTTCCGGTTTGCACAATATATATATTATGGGCACTGCGGCCTGGCACTGTCACAAAAAAGAAAAAAAAAAGAAAAAAGAAACTTGCGCCTGGCGCCTGACCCGCAGCAGCCGCACTCGGGCTCGGGCACGCCAGCAATCAGTCGCTCGCCGGCAGCGAAGTAAAGGTGGGGGTTTTGATATCTGCGTCGGTGGTACTTCTTTCGGGTGAGCGCTAGCACCGAACCCTACATTATTTGGCGCTCCACGCCAGGCCTACTTCTGCCCCGCGGGTTGGATTGCAGGCTTTTAGCCCGTTTTAGGCCTGTTAGCCTGTTTTTTTTTTTTTTTTTTTCGCGCTTTTGCCATCCCCGACCACGGCCGGAATGGAAGCGCGCGCTCTCTTTCTCTTCTTATGGCCTTTGCAATAGACCCTTTCCGAAATTCAGTCTGGCCACTTTGATCACTATCATCATCTGTGGAACGGCATCTGTGCCATACCAATGGCGGCCTTCTAGTGACCGATAAAGGAAGACGTTGAAGATGGTTCTAAGCGGATCTTGCAAGGCCTGTACATTCGGGGGTCAGTACGACGCGACGTAGGAATGGAACACAAGAGCTACGTAAGCGTTTATTTCTAATAACTCAGATTCAGTCAATCTGTGGGCGGCACACAATCGGCTTTACAGCACTTTGGTGTATAGGATTTTCTCGAGGCATCTGAGTGGGTTGGAGCTTTGTTCTGAATGCAGGTTCTTGGTCACCATCGAACTGAAAGTGATCGAGAAATAACTCACACTGAAGAATTCCTCGCGTGCCGTTGACTTGCGAAGGTGACAGTGCCGATACAAGTTCATTTCCACCATTGATATGGCAAAACCTAAACTGCTTTACAAACCACCAGATGGCACTGAATTTCGGCAAGGGTCTATTGGGGCAATTGCCACCTCCCACGGCTATTCGCGGGAGAGCTGTCACCTCACCCCTGGGCCACACCTTGCCGTTTGCACAGAGCGCGTCTGACAGTGTATCTCAGCGCTCTCGCAACTTGCGGCCGAGATTTTTATAGCCTTTGACACCTGATCCTTACGTTTATACCCTCACCCACTATCTAATGCGCTTCTGATGAGCCCAAAACAGTGAATATTTGACGCACATCTCCGAGAGATTCGAGAGTCAAAAGTAGTAAGTAGAGACAGCGAATGCAATTGCAGAAAAACTATACTCCACTTTACCTCCAGAACTTCTGTTGCTGCTCAAGAACAGGAGAAGATGGGTCCCTTCTACATGGAGGAACTTTAAATGATAAATAATTCATACAATCTCGTGAAATGTAAGCAGGCCCAATCTATCTATTGCCGTGGTCTGCATCATCATTTGATAGGCCGCACATGAAGTCGGCCAGCTGCTCTAGACGAGGGTGTTGTAGTCTGTACAATTTTCGCACAGTGCATATTACAGCCTAAAATGCTTCCTCGAGGGCTTGTGCTCATATCAAGCTGATTTGTCATTTCTGTCCATGACCGTCTCTGCATGGTTAATCAGAAGTATTCTGAGAAACTTGTTGCAAATTAAACCAGCCAAGCGCTTTGAGTGACTGTTGTCAATTCCCTCTGCGCAACGTAGGATTGGCGCGTCTTCAAGATAGGGTGCAATGAGTAGTTGCAAAACTTCGTGCACATTTCTACGCAGAAGGTCCTTAACAGCTTTTAAAAAAAGGCAACAATATTGTCCAGAAGTGCGAGGACCTAGGATTTGGATAACGAAGTCCGCTTTTATCCTGGCCTTGCATTGAGACGAACAGAGGATTTTGTTACTCGTAGTCAACATCATAACACAGGCCTCGCACCCAAACTCACTAATGAGTTTCACCAGATAGCAACCGCCGTACACCAGACCAGAGTATGTCATGGATGGAGATGGAGCGCAAGGCTCTTTCAGATTTTCAGGTCAGTGGTAACCGAGTCGGGCACAGCCACTGCCAACTGCTCAGAATCAGTGTCTGACATTTGTATTTGCTTAGAAGGGGCCTTTTCTTTGACCATGACCGCGCTTTCCGAACAACGGCGTGCGAGGGGTCAGACAGGTACAGAGGTCCCGTCCATGTCACAGGGGAACGCAGTATGCTGACGACACTGCCTGTCGGTAGAGTGACTTAAATCGGAGCGAAATTCAATAAACCGTTGCCAAAACAACAACCTACGAAGCTCGAACACCAGAGCAAAGCAGCTCGAAGGGGCTCTCCGAGTGTGGTGAAGTGGGGTGAGATGGTTGCACCCCTGGCGGCAAGCAAGTGAACTACATACGGAGAAAAAATTCCATTGACTCCCGGGCGATTGCGAAGGCCATAAGAAGAGAACGAGAGCGCGCGCTTACAGTGCGGTCGTGCCCCGACAAGCCTACGTGGTCCTTTGACTATAGCTTCGGCCACCGGATGCCATCTTTGCCATCGCAGCTTGGCCGGCGTGTATATTGTTCATACTGTATATTACGTGTTCTTCCTCTGTTTCTTTTTTTTGCGTTCTGTTTTGCTCCCTTTTTATTTTGCCGTTTTTGTACGGTGACTTGTGCGATGCAGACCCGCTATAGACCAGCCGCAGAAGAGGGCGGGACGGGAGAGGCGCCTGACTCGACGTCCATGGTCGTGATGGCTCGGGCTGCCAAGCTCTGCGACATGGTCGCGCAACACCTGGTCTTGGCTGACCAGGGACCCCAAGGGCAAGGGTCACGACCCAGGTGCCGGTCCCGTTGTACACGGGTTACGGTGACCAGAAGTCCGGGGCCGACTTCCTGGCCGGGCTGGCGGCCTATAAGCTCGCCACGGGAGCCTCAAGAAAATACATCCTTGCGCGGGTTCTGCCCGTGGTGTTCCAGGCGAGCGCCACGCGTTAGTGGCTCATCGTGGCCTCTTTCCTCACCTGGGAAGACTTTCGCCGGAAGTTTCAAGATTAATTACTTCCACCTGGGTACCAGCCTTGAGTCCAACGAGAACTGGAGCGCCGGACCCAGCACCGGGACGAGACCCTCGTCGAATATGTACGGTTGGAGCAGGAGCTCTTGACAGGCCATGCCCAACGACGTCGGAGTCGGACAGAGTTGCTCGGGTACTGCAGCAGAGCCCCTCAAGATTCTGACCCCACCTGCATATCTACGTCTACATATCACCTACAAGTTAAAATCACAGAGCGGGTGAACCGAAACCTGAAATCGAGTTTTATAGCTCACACCGAACGTCACCACGACTAGGACGCAAAGCTCCCAGAAGTCGCGTCCGTAACACTCACAACCGTTAAACGGTCTACTGGTTTTACGCCAGCTTGCTTTAATTTCAGAAAGAAGCTGACTTTCCCGCTTGAAAACACTTGCACGATTAACAATCCTGGCGCTGCTCGCTCTTATGCAGAAAGTCTGCGATGCAGACTCAGGGACATCGTTCGTGATGGCCGGGAGAGCTTGACGTCGCACGGCTACAGCAGGCTGAGAAGTCAATCGTGGCCACCGGTACGTGTAATTTGAAGTTGGAGACCGTGTACTCCGACGAACACACACACTGAGTGACGCCTCCAGAGGTTTCACAGCTTCCCTGGCGAGCAGGTAGGATGGTCCGTATCGAGTGCGCGACAGGGCCTCACGCCTCACATACACGCTAATCCACTGTGAGACTGGACGACTCACTGGACCTGTTCATGTCACCAACCTCACACGGTATTATGGATCGGATGCGTAACTTTTCCCGTAGGTGTTGTTGCAGTTTGGAAAAAATTTGAAGTTCACGAGAAACGAGAAGAAAGAAGAAGGCTTGAGGCACGAGTGGAACGAGGCGAACGACAGAAGCCGATCGAGACACTTCTCTGTAATGATGTATATTCGATTGATTTATTAGTGTAAATACAGTTTGTGTTTTGCTTTTACGCTTATTGCCTGATTGAAATACGACGCCCACACGACCTCTTTGATCCTGAGACATTATGGTGCCGAAACCCGGGAACGAGAACGATTGAGGTGAGCGGATTTTCCACCTTTGTGGAACACCTGCCTGGAACGCTGTTTCCGAGAGCTGTGTGGGAGATCGTCAAACAGGAAACGTCTCAAGGCAAAACGTGGAGTGAAGCGGTCGCAAAACACGAAAATTATTCACGAGGCGACAGCGGGGATGGAGACAGCGGACCTGGCATCGCTGATTGCCTGGCTAGAAAGGCTGAAGGCCAATAACAGGGCTCTTCAAGAGTTGAACGTGGAGATAGAAGGTCATATATCGGAACAAGACCTCGTCGCAGAATACACTACGGTCACGGAGCACGACGACGAGGCCATCGGAATGATGGCGCTGTTGGACTGCAAGGCAGACTCACTGAGACGTAAAGAACAACAGGCACAGGCCACCTAGATGACCACATCCGCGACAGCATCTGCGACTGCCACCACAGACCTGGGAAGAAATCGCACCAAAATGACTAGCGGCGTGAAGCTTCCCAAGTTACGACTTCAAACTTTCAACGGCGAAGTCAGCGCGTGGCAGAGCTTCTGGGAGCAGTTCGGTCGTGCTATTTACGAAAACGATAGCATTCCACGATCGGAAAAGTTTCAGTACCTGCGCAACCATGTAACCGGACCAGCGGCGGCGGCTATCGCTGGGCTCCAGGCAACTGAGGCCTGCTACGACGATGCCATTGAAATCCTGACACTGCGCTTCGGTGATAAAGGAAGGATCGAGCAAAATCATCTGGCGAAGCTCCGAGCACTGCCTCCTGTTGCCTCCGCGAAAGACACGAAAGGCCTTCGAAAGATGTACGATCACGTCCAGACGAACATCCGAGGTCTGAAACGGCTCGGCGTGGGATCGGCAACGTACTGCACGATGATGTCCGATATCCTCCTAAAGGCCTTGCCGAGCGAAGTCGTCGTAAATTATCACCGGCAGCAGGCAAGCAGCACTGCCTACAGGTCAACGGGAGAAACGCAAAACAGTCCGACTTCACTGACTTCACCAGCAGTGCAGGAAAAAGGACACTCTGTCAACGGACCACTTTCCACCCGGAGCGCTTCAAGGCCGCCCTCTTTTGCTGATGCCGAAGATGAGCTCGCCGATATTCTAAGCTTCCTTCGGATCGAAGTTGAGAGTAGGGAGAGAGCCGGAGTAGTAGAAGAACGGCAAGAGACGCAGAAGAAAAGGACTGAAAGACCCAGAATGCCAGCAGCCTCTGTGCTACATGCAAATATCACAAGCCCCTGCTTCTTTTGCCGGTCCACAAAGCACGCAACAGAAGTATGTACTGGCGACCTCACGTTAGAGGTGAAGAAAAGGAGGCTGGAGCAAGAAAACCGCTGCTTCACACGTTCCACGTCACGACCGCAACGTCGGCGACTAGTACAAGTATGGTTGCACAGCCAATACGGCCAAGAAGAGTGCGTCATCGAGGTCGTCGAGGTACCCTTCATCTGTAAGGACGTTGTGCAGGTACCCGTCGACCACGAATTTGTTCGCCGTATGATGAAAAACGGCCGTCGTATTGCGGACATGCTTCTCTCCCCTCTGTCCACTGCTGAAGAGGGCATTTCCCTTCTGGTCGGCTCAGACCAGTTGTGGCGAGTGAACGGTGACCAAGTGCTGCATTGCAAGGAAAATCAGAAGCTGGTAGCTATAAGCACCATTTTTGGCTGGACCTTTCAAGGCCCAGTGTCAAACCACAGCTCTCTCAAAGGCAGCGCCAGCAGCATGGTATGCGTGCTAAGAACGGAATGCTTCACGAACGAGGACGTCGGAGACATCCTGCGGCGTTTTGGGGAGCTAGAGAGCATCGGAATTTCTGACCAGCCCTCCAGCAATATGGAAGAACAGAACGAACTGCTGAACGAGTTCAACCGAACAATACGGAAAGTGAATGGACGGTACGAAGTCGGTCTACCGTTCAGGGTCGGCGCGGGAGAACTGAGGGATAACCGCACGCTGGCATTGAAACGTCTTGAGAGTTTTATTTATTTATTTTATTTATTTCATAATACCTTGAAGGCCCCGTTACAGGGCATTACACAAGGGATGGGTCACTAATAGTTTCAATGTAAAAACAGTAATACAAGCTCGTGAGCAGGAACACAATGAATGACAAACTGAACATTTTAATATAAAACATAGTGATGCAAACCGGTGAGCAGCAGCAAAAATACAAATAAACACAAAAAATAATAAAAAAGTAGACGAAGGGCACGATATTAACATGTTAAGACTCAGCATTATTTGCACAGGGATCTAAATGTTAACCTAGTAGCTTTTTAAATACATCCACATTGTTAGTTGTAACTATGTTATCAGGTAAAGCATTCCATTCTAATATTGTCAAAGGAAGAAAAGAATTGGCGTAGGAGGTGGTGGAGACAAATATAGGCTCTATTTTACAGCTGTTGTCTAGTCTTGGGAAAAACGAAATGGGACGTGGGAGTAAACTTTTTCTAAGCGTAGGGTTGTGGTGGTAGATCTTGAAAAACTGCGTCAATCGAGATATCTTCCTTCTTAAAGCGAGCTCAGGAAGATTCGCTCGCTCTCGCAAACCAGAAACACTAGTGTAAAAAGAATAATCAGAATAAATAAATCTCAAACCTCTGTTTTGCACACTTTCAAGTTCTCGTTTGAGGTAGTTCTGCCACGGGGACCATACGGATGCAGCGTACTCTAGCTTGGGGCGGACTAAATTTAGGTATGCGATAGATTGTCATGCGATAGGTAGATTGTCACGCGACGAGTCCTTCGCAAAAGATTACAACGTCATACGCAGCTACATCACCTCAGGACACGCAGAAAAAGTTTCAAGGAGCCCATTTTGCGCCGAGTCGACAAACCCACGAATTTATTATATGCCCCATCAGCCCGTAATTCGGAATGAATCCGAGACCACCAGGCTGAGAGTCGTCTTCGACGCTTCGTCTCATCTCCCAGGAGTTGCTTCACTCAACGAACAGCTGGAAAAGGGGCCGAATTTGAACGCCGATCTGGTAGGAATCTTGGTGCGCTTCCGTCTACACCCAATCGCCTTAACACCGGACATAGAAAAGGTGTTTCTGCAGGTCAGCGTTCGACCTGAAGATCGAGACGTCCTACGCTTCCTGTGGTTTCAAAGAGATTCGTCGTCAGCAAGCTCTGAACCAACCTTTGAAGAGTGGAGGATGACGAGAGTGCCCTTTGGGACATCGGCCAGCCCCTCTCTACTAACCGCCACTCTTACTCATCACCTCAGCAACGTCAATGAAGAATTGCGATCGACTGCGGAACTGCTTCAACGGGGATTCTACGTCGACGACCTCCTGATCGGAGCCCCCACTATTGAAGAAGCGGCGCGAATACAGGAACAAGCCAACCAGATTTTAGAAAATGCAGGAATGAGACTCCGAAAGTGGTCTACTAACGCGACAGAACTGCAAAGATCGTTCGATAAAGCTGCATCAACGTCTGCACCCTCTGAACCGGGAGCTGTACTTGGACTTCTTTGGCGACGTGACGCTGACACGCTGGCCATTTCAGTGGAGAAAATCCTGAACTTCGTCACGTGCAGTGGGACGACGAAGCGCTATGTACTCTGTGCATCAGCTAGGGTTTTCGACCCGTTGGGACTCCTTGCTCCGTTCGTCCTACGAATCAAGGTTTTGTTTCAAGAAATCTGGGAACGAGGAATTGGTTGGGACGACGATCTAACGGACGACCTACTGGTGCAATGGCGGCGATGGTGCGCAGAACTTCCACAATTAGAAGAGATAGTGATTCCTCGCTGCATCGTGAAGACGCCAAGAGAAGTCATATGTTCTCTCCAACTACACGTCTTCTGCGACGCAAGTCCGGTGGCCTATGGCACTTGTGCCTACCTGAGGGCTGAAGGAGAAGATGGGAAGGTAGAGGTGAACTTGATGTTTTCGAAATCACGTGTGGCGCCCATAAGGCGAATAACACTACCTCGACTGAACTAATGGCTGCAGTGATTGAAAGACGGATGGGCCAGTATCTTGGAGAGATCATGAACATTCAAGAGACATTCTACTGGACAGATAGCGCTATCACACTTCACTGGATCCGCGGGTCAGCAACTCAGTGGAAGCCCTTTGTGGCAAATCGAGTGGCAGAGCTCCAATCTGGAGGGTCACCTTCTACATGGAAGCACCGCCCCGGACAAGAAAATCCAGCAGATTTGATGACACGGGGTGTAAGGATCGACGAGAGCTCCGCGGGTGGGCCGTTAGCACCAGGGAGATTTGACTGGGGGGAAAGCGCTGTTGTAAACACTTCCCTTGGCGGGCGACCTCGAGAGACAGGCGTACTTTACGACGCGGGGTTCGGGGCGCGCGTTTTCTGCCGAGAGAATCGGAGCGTGCGTTCCGGGCCGGAAAAGTAAAGTTACACCACCACCGCCACCAGAGCGCAGTGGCTCTGGCCGGCGCTGTTTACACGGCGCGTTTACATCGGTTTAGTCTTTCTCGCCCGAGTGTGGGGGGTCGCGGCAGAACGGCAACGTCAGACCGCCTCTGGCAGAATGAATTGCGGGATGGCTCACTTAGTCGGCGCTATCCACACTGGGGTCGGTTGTCCACTTCGCCATGCGAGAAATGGTTTTGCTTGCATCCGAACCAGCCCGACCTTTGACCGTGAGATGTACGCAGACCGCGGGTTCCCACCCGGGAATACAAGCAATTCCCACGTGGCGAGAAAGTGAGCCGATTGGTTGGCGGTGGGAAACGCCTGTCTCACAACGCATCGAGGATTCGCCGGTCCACTAAAGGGGGACGGACCAACGAGTAACTTGGATGAGAAACTCAGCGAGTGAGTTTAGTTCGTGCTGGGGCTCGAGAGCTGTCGCTCCGTAATCGAGTCAGGTCGTGGGATTCCGAGGGACTTTTGTCCCCGTAATCGGGACGTAATCCCACGAGCCAGCCAACTCCCGAGCTTGGAGAAGCTAACACCCGACCACCTCCTTCCCAACCCCGTACAGGGGAAGTTACCATTTCGCAGTATCGTTTTTCTTTGTATTTTCATTCGTTTCAAAAGTATTAAATTGTTTTGTTTAAAACTAATTCCCAAAGTCAACTGAATTAGTCATCGACGGCCAAGGGAAGCAACTTCGTCTCCAGCAAGACCCGCCCAGCTTCCCACAACGAAGCCCGTCACCCCATCCGGACCTAGCAGTCTGGACGGCGCAAGGTGACCAGAGGAACGAAAGAACCCGTACTGGCGCAGTCGACAGGATTGGCTTCGACGACATCGAAATTCAAGAAACATCATCGAGGGGCAACGGAACGACTACCGCAGAGAGCCCACGCATCAGGGACCGACTAGCGTCAAGGGAGCCCACTGTCACCCCGTGCCATCCCGTTCAAGGGAGATTTCGCGGCGCCGGTGAGTGGAACCTTCACGTTTCTTTGGTGTGTGCGCAGACGTAGGAGTCAGTGTGCAGGAAAAGATGAAGAGATCGGGGGATAAAGCGAAAACTGCGGAAGGGGACAAAGGGACCGACGGAGGAGCGGAAGGGTCAGAAAGTCGGTCCGCCGACGAGCGCGCTGCCCATGCGCACGCGGAAGCCATGCGGCGCATGGAGCACGAGCACGAAATTGCCATATTAAAACTCAAGCTTGAGAGCGAGGAAAGAATCGCGGCAATGCGTGGACCGAGTGTCGGTGGGGCGGCTACCGTGACAACGGGAATGGGCAGGCTGAACCCTGTTTCGCAATGCGCGAAACTTCTTAAAAATCAGAAACTGCCACCTGACGCGGAAGTTCCTGTTTGGTTCGACGGTGTCGAAAAGATGTTCGCGGCCTACGGAGTGCCGAATGAGAGCCGAGTACATCTGATAATGCCGGCGTTGTCAGAAAGAGTTAAATATCTTTTTACGAGGTTGTCTGTGGAGGAGATAGCTAGCTACGACACGGTCAAGGCCGCCGTCCTGGACGAGCTTCGACTCACCCCTGGCGAGTACCGGAAGCGGTTTGCCGGCGCGCGTAAGCGAAAAGACGAGGGGTGGGCGCAGTTCGCCTCGAGGACGGCGAGCTATTTCAGCTACTACCTGGAGGCGCGCAATGTAGAGAGTAAAGAGGACCTGATTCATCTGATGGTCGCAGACCAGGTGAAGTCGAGCCTCAGTGAGGAGTGTCTCCGGCACGTCACGCTGCGTGAAGAGACAAAGTGGCTGCAGGCGCACGAGCTAGCTAAGGTGGTACAGATGTACGAGGAGGCAGAGAGAGACGGACGAACGGCGAGGGGCATAGAAGTCAGAGGCGAAAGCTCGAAGCCAGAGACCGACGCTTCTAAGCAGAGCCCTCCTCGCACTTCGCCTCGTTGCTTTGGCTGTAACCAAAGCGGGCACATTTCGCGAAATTGCCCTAACCGCAGAGAGCAAGATGAAACGGCTCGAAAGCCACTCGTACAGGGAGTGATGGTAGGGGAGAGAACTGCTGTTTTGAGTTTCCCTCAACAGCCAACGGCTGCAGTAGATAAGAATGACAAGTGGGGACCCAGAGGTTCAGGACTGATCCTAGTCGAACTTTTCTCCGGCGACCAAGAGCTAACGGCCGTGCTAGACACCGGAAGTGAAATAACAGTCGTCAGAGAGAGCGCCGTTCCGCCGGAACTGGTCGGGCATAGCGGCACAGTTCGCCTTGTTTCTGCCTTTGGGCAACAGGTAACAGCAAAACTCGTGCGTTTGCCGCTGCAGGCCAGGCTCCGGGGAGGGGTTGCTCAGAGTGATCCGGTCACCGTACTGTGTGCGGTTACCGATACACTGACTATCACGGCGGATTGCTTACTTTCATCGTATGACTGGAAGTTGCTGAACCGGCACAAAGACCAGGATTTTGATAAGGGTGAACACAGGATAGCATCACCGAATGCTTTCGTGGCGGCTTCAGGTCCTGTGACTCGGGAGGGCGGAACCAAAGTGGTTCGTGCGAGCCGGCTGAGAAACAGCCGTGCTCGAGTGGGACATGTGGGAGTCATGCTTCACGAAGATGCTAACTTTGGAGACGTAAACTGCGCGCCCCCCGAAAACGGCGCGACTGAACAAACAGGTGAGCTCATTCACGAGGAGTGTCAGGTTGCCGGGGGGTCAGTCACCCTCCCCGGGCACGTCGTGGGGTCTGGAACGAATAAGCACGACCCAAATAAGGACGCCGCGACCGAGGGTTTAGATTACCCGCGTAATAAGAGGGAACCGCAGAGTGTCCTGGGACCGTGTGGCTACTTCCGAGAGTACGCAAAAGGCTACGCTGCTATCGCCGAGCTCTGCACGGCCCTTGCCAAAAAGGGCGAACTGAACGAAATACCTAGGCCGGAGGGGGCGGAGGGCGCATTCCCGCAGCTAAAGACAGCACTCTGTGAGGCGGCGATCCTTTCGACCCCGAGCTTGCAGGAGCCTTGCTGGCTTTTGACAGACGCGTCAGCAGTGGCACCAGGGTCGTGCCTGGGCCAGATCGGGAGTGGCGGAGCCGAGAAGCCGATCGCGTTCGCCAGCCATACGTTCACTCCTACCCAAACACGCTGATCCACCATTGGGCGCGAGGCGTTCGCTCTCGTTTGGGCGCTTGTCACATTTTATGGCGGGCTCTTGGGCGCAAAAGTGCACGTCGTGTCGGACCACAACCCTCTGTCCTACCTGACGTCCTTCAGACCGCATGGGGCAAAGCTATCAAAGTGGGCTCTAGCGCTACTGCGCTATGATGTGATCATGACCCACAGAAAGGGGTCCGCTAGCGGTAACGCAGACGCTTTGTCTCGCTTGCTGAACAGATTTTGGGGTACCACTGACTCAGCGCTGCGCCCACCCGAGAGCATGGGTGGTTCCGCCTACCGCGCGGCCTGACTTGTATACCCCAGGAGAGTGGTCTTGCTGCTGTGTCCGTGCGTGAAGAGACTTCGTCAAACCTCGTGGCTGCTGCGACTTGACATTTTCCAGTGCACGAGCCTAGAGACAATTGTTTTGCGAAGCATTTTTTTTTGTGTGTGTGTTCCGATGCGCGGTTATTGCAGCAGGCGTGTTCCGTTCAGCGTTCTTCTTTCTTTTCTTGTTCTTGGCGTAAACGTTGATGCCTGCATTGTGACATGTGCGCGTATTTTCTTTTATAGTGACGTACTGTCATTCAATATGGGGACATTGCATGGCGCGTGTTTAATGGCGGTTTTTTTTTTGTCTTTTTGGTTTTGCAGCGTTGAAGAGCTCGGTCATGTCACTTGTATACGTATTCATCTTCAGTATTATGCACTGATGTTTACGAAGATAACCTTTTTTTTTTACAACGCCACTTGCGTTTTTTTTTGTGCATCGTTTGTAGAAATGCGACTGATGTCTTCGATCCTTTTTTTTCATGTTTGACTCTTAGATGTTCTTTCAGTCCAGCAAGAGTCTTAAGGGGGGAGGTGTAAGGATCGACGAGAGCTCCGCGGGTGGGCCGTTAGCACCAGGGAGATTTGACTGGGGGGGAAAGCGCTGTTGTAAACACTTCTCTTGGCGGGCGACCTCGAGAGACAGGCGTACTTTACGACGCGGGGTTCGGGGCGCGCGTTTTCTGCCGAGAGAATCGGAGCGTGCGTTCCGGGCCGGAAAAGTAAAGTTACACCACCACCGCCACCAGAGCGCAGTGGCTCTGGCCGGCGCTGTTTACACGGCGCGTTTACATCGGTTTAGTCTTTCTCGCCCGAGTGTGGGGGGTCGCGGCAGAACGGCAACGTCAGACCGCCTCTGGCAGAATGAATTGCGGGATGGCTCACTTAGTCGGCGCTATCCACACTGGGGTCGGTTGTCCACTTCGCCATGCGAGAAATGGTTTTGCTTGCATCCGAACCAGGCCGACCTTTGACCGTGAGATGTACGCAGACCGCGGGTTCCCACCCGGGAATACAAGCAATTCCCACGTGGCGAGAAAGTGAGCCGATTGGTTGGCGGTGGGAAACGCCTGTGTCACAACGCATCGAGGATTCGCCGGTCCACTAAAGGGGGACGGACCAACGAGTAACTTGGATGAGAAACTCAGCGAGTGAGTTTAGTTCGTGCTGGGGCTCGAGAGCTGTCGCTCCGTAATCGAGTCAGGTCGTGGGATTCCGAGGGACTTTTGTCCCCGTAATCGGGACGTAATCCCACGAGCCAGCCAACTCCCGAGCTTGGAGAAGCTAACACCCGACCACCTCCTTCCCAACCCCGTACAGGGGAAGT